TGAGGGCTGTAGTGGTACCTGGGGCTGTTGTGGTACCCGAGGGCTGTAGTGGTACCTGAGGCTGTAGTGGTACCCAAGGGCTGTAGGTGGTACCCGAGGGCTGTTGTGGTACCTGAGGGCTGTAGTGGTACCCGAGGCTGTAGTGGTACCTGAGGGCTGTAGTGGTACCAAGGGCTGTAGGTGGTACCTGAGGCTGTTGTGGTACCTGAGGGCTGTAGTGGTACCTGAGGGCTGTGGTACCTGAGGGCTGTAGTGGTACCCAAGGGCTGTAGTGGTACCTGAGGGCTGCTGTGGTACCGAGGGCTGTAGTGGTACCCAAGGGCTGTAGTGGTACCCGAGGGCTGTGTGGTACCCAAGGGCTGTAGTGGTACCTGAGGGCCAGTGGTACCTGAGGGCTGTAGTGGTACCTCCGAGGGCTGTTGTGGTACCCGAGGGCTGTAGTGGTACCTAAGGGCTGTAGTGGTACCTGAGGGCTGTAGTGGACCAAGGGCTGTGTGGTACCAGGGCTGTAGTGGTACCCGAGGGCTGTGTGGTACCCAAGGGCTGTAGTGGTACCCAAGGCTGTGTGGTACCTGAGAGCTGTTGTGGTACCCGAGGGCTGTTGTGGTACCTGAGGGCTGTAGTGGTACCCAAGGGCTGTAGTGGTACCTAGGGCTGTAGTGGTACCTGAGGGCTGTTGTGGTACCTGAGGGCTGTAGTGGTACCCAAGGGCTGTAGTGGTACCTGAGGGCTGCAGTGGTACCTGAGGGCTGTAGTGGTACCCGAGGGCTGCAGTGGTACCTGAGGGCTGTAGTGCGCCTCGAGGCTGTTGTGGTACCTGAGGCTGTAGTGGGACCCGAGGGCTGTAGTGGTACCCGAGGGCTGTTGTACCCAAGGGCTGTAGTGGTACCTGAGGGCTGGTGGTGACCTGAGGGCTGTAGTGGTACCCGAGGGCTGTAGTGGTACCTGAGGGCTGTAGTGGTACCTAAGGGCTGTAGTGGTACCTGAGGGCTGTAGTGGTACCTGAGGGCTGTAGTGGTACCTGAGGGCTGTAGTGATACCAAGGGCTGTAGTGGTACCCCAAGGGCTGTAGTGGTACCTGAGGGCTGTAGTGGTACCCGAGGGCTGTAGTGTACCTGAGGGCTGTAGTGGTACCCAAGGCTGGGTGGTGGTACCTGAGGGCTGTAGTGGGACCCAGGGCTGCAGTGGACCAGGGCTGTAGTGGTACCTGAAGGGCTGTAGTGGTACCTGAGGGCTGTAGTGGTACCCGAGGGCTGTAGTGGACCCAAGGGCTGTAGTGGTACCTAAGGGCTGTAGTGGTACCCGAGGGCTGTGTGGTACCCAAGGGCTGTAGTGTACCAGGGCTGTAGTGATACCTAAGGGCTGTAGTGGTACCCGAGGGCTGTAGTGGTACCCAAGGGCTGTAGTGGTACCCGAGGGCTGGTGGTACCTGAGGGCTGTAGTGGTACCTGAGGGCTGTAGTGGGACCCGAGGGCTGTAGTGGTACCTGAGGGCTGTAGTGGGACCTGAGGGCTGTAGTGGCACCTGAGGGCTGTAGTGGTACCGAGGGCTGTAGTGGGACCTGAGGGCTGTGGGACCTGAGGGCTAGTGGTACCAAGGGCTGTAGTGGTACCGCGGGACTGTAGTGGTACCCAAGGGCTGTAGTGGGACCTGAGGGCTGTAGTGGGACCCGAGGGCTGTAGTGGGACCCGAGGGCTGTAGTGGGACCCGAGGGCTGTAGTGGTACCCGAGGGCTGTAGTGGTACCCGAGGGTTGTAGGGGCCTGAGGGCTGGTGGGACCGAGGGCTGTAGTGGTACCTCGAGGGCTGTAGTGGTACCCGAGGGCTGTAGTGGGGCCTGAGGGCTGTAGTGGTACCTCGAGGGCTGTAGTGGTACCCAAGGGCTGTAGTGGGACCTGAGGGCTGTAGTGGGACCCGAGGGCTGTAGTGGGACCCGAGGGCTGTAGTGGTACCACCCGAGGGCTGTAGTGGTGCCCGAGGGCTGTAGTGGTACCCAAGGCCAGTGATACCCAAGGGCTGTAGTGGTACCCAAGGGCTGTAGTGATACCCAAGGGCTGTAGTGGTACCCAAGGGCTGTAGTGATACCCAAGGGCTGTAGTGGTACCAAGGGTTGTAGTGATACCCAAGGGCTGTAGTGGTACCTGAGGGCTGTAGTGGAATCTGAGGGCTGTAGTGGTACCCAAGGGCTGTAGTGGCACCTGAGGGCTGTAGTGGTACCCAAGGGCAGGTAGTGGTACCTGGGAGCGACTGTAGTGGTACCCAAGGGCTGTAGTGGTACCGAGGGCTGTAGTGGTACCTAAGGGCTGTAGTGTGTGGCACCGAGGGTTGTGGTACCAGGCTGTTGTGGTACCCAAGGGCTGTAGTGAACCTGAGGGCTGTGGTACCTGAGGGCTGTTGTGGTACCCAATGGCTCTAGTGGTACCCAAGGGCTGTAGTGATACCCATGGGCTGTGGTACCCAAGGGCTGTAGTGGTACCTGAGGGCTGTAGTGGTACCCGAGGGCTATTGTGGTACCGAGAGCTGTAGTGGTACCCAAGGGCTGTAGTGGTACCTGAGGGCTGTTGTGGTACCTGAGGGCTGTAGTGGTACCTGAGGGCTGTAGTGGTACCCGAGGGCTGCTGTGGTACCCAAGCGCTGTAGTGGTACCCAAGCGCTGTAGTGGTACCTGAGGGCTGTAGTGGTACCCAAGGGCCAGTGTGGTACCCGAGGGCTGTGAAAATTCGAGGGCTGTTGTGGTACCAGCGCTGTAGTGGTACCCATGCGCTGTAGTGGTACCGAGGGCTGTTGTGGTACCCAAGCGCTGTAGTGGGGCCCGAGGGCTGTAGGTACCTGAGGGCTGTTGTGGTACCCAAGGGCTGTAGTGGGACCCGAGGGCTGTAGTGGTACCCAAGTGGGCTGTAGTGGTACCCAAGCGCTGTAGTGGTACCTGAGGGCTGTAGTGGTACCCGAGGGCTGTAGTGGACCTGAAGACTGTAGTGTGCGTGGCAATTCTCGAGGGCTGTAGGTACCCAAGGGCTGTAGTGGGACCTGAGGGCTGTAGTGGGACCTGTGGCTGTTGTGGTACCTGAGGGCTGTAGTGGTACCTGAGGCTGTTGTGGTACCTAAGGGCTGTAGTGTGGTACCTCGAGGGCTGTTGTGGTACCTGAGGGCTGTAGTGGTGTTCCCGAGGCTGTAGTGGTACCTGAGGGGTGTAGTGGTACCTAAGGGCTGTAGTGTGGTACCTGAGGCTGTTGTGGTACCTGAGGGCTGTAGTGGTACCTGAGGGCTGTGGTACCTGAGGGCTGTTGTGGTACCCAAGGGCTGTAGTGGTACCTGAGGGCTGCTGTGGTACCTCGAGGGCTGTAGTGGTACCCAAGGGCTGTAGTGGTACCCGAGGGCTGTTGTGGTACCCAAGGGCTGTAGTGGTACCTGAGGGCCAAGCGGTACCTGAGGGCTGTAGTGGTACCTTCCGAGGGCTGTTGTGGTACCTGAGGGCTGTAGTGGTACCTAAGGGCTGTAGTGGTACCTGAGGGCTGTAGTGGTACTCCAAGGGCTAGGTGTGGTACCTGAGGGCTGTTGTGGTACCTGAGGGCTGTGTGGGTGCCCAAGGGCTGTAGTGGTACCTAAGGCTGTGTGGTACCTGAGAGCTGTTGTGGTACCTGAGGGCTGTTGTGGTACCTGAGGGCTGTTGTGGTACCCAAGGGCTGTAGTGGTACCTGAGGGCTGTAGTGGTTCCTGAGAGCTGTTGTGGTACCTGAGGGCTGTAGTGGTACCCAAGGGCTGTAGTGGTACCTGAGGGCTGCTGTGGTACCTGAGGGCTGTTGTGGTACCCGAGGGCTGCTGTGGTACCTGCGGGCTGTAGTGCGCCTCGAGGGCTGTTGTGGTACCTGAGGCTGTAGTGGGACCTGAGGGCTGTAGTGGTACCTGAGGGCTGTTGTACCCAAGGGCTGTAGTGGTACCTGAGGGCTGTTGTGGTGTACCTGAGGGCTGCTGTGGTACCCAAGGGCTGTAGTGGTACCTGAGGGCTGTAGTGGTACCTAAGGGCTGTAGTGGTACCTGAGGGCTGTAGTGGTACCTGAGGGCTGTAGTGGTACCTGAGGGCTGTAGTGATACCAAGGGCTGTAGTGGTACTCCAAGGGCTGTAGTGGTACCTGAGGGCTGTAGTGGTACCTGAGGGCTGTAGTGTACCTTGAGGGCTGTAGTGGTACCTAAGGCTGGGAAGGTGGTACCTGAGGGCTGTAGTGGTGTACCCAAGGGCTGCAGTTGTACCAGGGCTGTAGTGGTACCTGAGGGGCTGTAGTGGTACCTGAGGGCTGTAGTGGTACCCGAGGGCTGTAGTGGTACCCAAGGGCTGTAGTGGTACCCAAGGGCTGTAGTGGTACCCGAGGGCTGTGCGGTACCCGAGGGCTGTAGTGTACCTGAGGGCTGTAGTGGTACCTAAGGGCTGTAGTGGTACCCGAGGGCTGTAGTGGTACCCAAGGGCTGTAGTGGTACCCGAGGGCTGCAGTTGTACCTGAGGGCTGTAGTGGTACCTGAGGGCTGTAGTGGTACTCGAGGGCTGTAGTGGTACCTGAGGGCTGTAGTGGGGCCTGAGGGCTGTAGTGGTACCTGAGGGCTGTAGTGGTACCTGAGGGCTGTAGTGGGGACCTGAGGGCTGCGGGACCTGAGGGCTAGTGGTGCCTAAGGGCTGTAGTGGTACCTTGGCGCGACTGTAGTGGTACCCAAGGGCTGTAGTGGGACCTGAGGGCTGTAGTGGGACCCGAGGGCTGTAGTGGGACCCGAGGGCTGTAGTGGGACCCGAGGGCTGTAGTGGTACCTGAGGGCTGTAGTGGTACCCGAGGGTTGCAGGGGCCTGAGGGCTGGTGGGACCTGAGGGCTGTAGTGGTACCTCGAGGGCTGTAGTGGTACCCGAGGGCTGTAGTGGGGCCTGAGGGCTGTAGTGGTACCTCGAGGGCTGTAGTGGTACCTGAGGGCTGTAGTGGGACCTTGAGGGCTGTAGTGGGACCCGAGGGCTGTAGTGGGACCCGAGGGCTGTAGTGGTACCACCCCGAGGGCTGTAGTGGTACCCGAGGGCTGTAGTGGTACCCAAGGCCAGTGATACCCAAGGGCTGTAGTGATACCCAAGGGCTGTAGTGATACCCAAGGGCTGTAGTGGTACCCAAGGGCTGTAGTGATACCCAAGGGCTGTAGTGGTACCTGAGGGTTGCAGTGATACCCAAGGGCTGTAGTGGTACCTGAGGGCTGTAGTGGTACCTGAGGGCTGTAATGGTACCCAAGGACTGTAGTGGTACCTGAGGGCTGTAGTGGTACTCAAGGGCAGGTAGTGGTACCTGGGCGCGACTGTAGTGGTACCTGGCAAGGGCTGTAGTGGTACCGAGGGCTGTAGTGGTACCTAAGGGCTGTAGTGTGTGGTACCTGAGGGTTGTGGTACCTGAGAGCTGTTGTGGTACCCAAGGGCTGTAGTGAACCTGAGGGCTGTGGTACCTGAGGGCTGTTGTGGTACCCAATGGCTCTAGTGGTACCCAAGGGCTGTAGTGATACCCATGGGCTGTGCTACCCAAGGGCTGTAGTGGTACCTGAGGGCTGGGGTGGTACCCGAGGGCTATTGTGGTACCTGAGAGCTGTAGTGGTACCCAAGGGCTGTAGAGTGGTACCTGAGGGCTGTTGTGGTACCTGAGGGCTGTAGTGGTACCTGAGGGCTGTAGTGGTGCTCGAGGGCTGTTGTGGTACCTGCGCTGTAGTGGTACCTAAGCGCTGTAGTGGTACCTGAGGGCTGTAGTGGTACCTAAGGGCCAGTGTGGTACCTGAGGGCTGTGAAAATTCGAGGGCTGTTGTGGTACCTGCGCTGTAGTGGTACCCATGCGCTGTAGTGGTACCGAGGGCTGTTGTGGTACCCAAGCGCTGTAGTGGGGCCCGAGGGCTGTAGGTACCTGAGGGCTGTTGTAGGTACCGAGGGCTGTTGTGGTACCTAAGGGCTGTAGTGGCACTCTCGAGGGCTGTAGTGGTACCCAAGGGCTGTAGTGGTACCTGAGGGCTGTAGTGGTACCCGAGGCTGCTGTGGGACCTGAGGGCTGTAGGGACCTGAGGGCTGTAGTGGTACCTAAGGGCTGTAGTGGGACCCGAGGCTGTAGTGGTACCCGAGGGCTGCTGTGGTACCCGAGGGCTGTAGTGGTACCTGAGGGCTGTAGTGGTACCCAAGCGCTGTAGTGGTACCTGAGGGCTGTTGTGGTACCCAAGGGCTGTTGTGGTACCTGAGGGCTGTGTAGTGGCACCTAATGGCTGTAGTGGTACCTCGAGGGCTGTTGTGGTACTCGAGGGCTGTTGTGGTGTACCCAAGGGCTGGGGTGGTACCTGAGGGCTGTAGTGGTACCCAAGGCTGTAGTGGGTACCTGAGGGCTGTAGTGGTACCTCGAGGGCTGTAGTGGTACCCGAGGGCTGTAGTGGTACCTGAGAGCTGTTGTGGTACCTAAGAGCTGTAGTGGTACTGAGGGCTGTTGTGGTACCCGAGGGCTGTTGTGGTACCCGCGCGTAGTGGGACCCGAGGGCTGTAGTGGTACTATGGGCTGTAGTGGTACCTAAGCTGTAGTGGTACCTGAGGGCTGTGTAGTGGTACCCGAGGGCTGTAGTGGGACCCGAGGACTGTAGTGGTACCTGAGGGCTGTAGTGGTACCCAAGGGCTGTAGTGGGACCCGAGGGCTGTAGTGGGACTCCGAGGGCTGTTGTGTACCTGAGGGCTGTAGTGGTACCTGAGGGCTGTTGTGGTACCCAAGGGCTGTAGTGGTACCCGAGGGCTGCTGTGGTACCTGAGGGCTGTAGTGGTACCTGAGGGCTGTAGTGGTACCCGAGGGGTGTAGTGGTGCCCAAGGGCTGTAGTGGTACCTGAGGGCTGTTGTGGTACCTGAGGGCTGTAGTGGTACCCGAGGGCTGCTGTGGTACCTGAGGGCTGTTGTGGTACCCATGGGCTGAAGTGGTACCCGAGGGCTGGGTGGTACCTGAGGGCTGTAGTGGTACCCAAGGGCTGTGTGGTACCTGAGGGCTGTTGTGGTACCCAAGGGCTGTAGTGGTACCTGAGGGCTGTTGTGGTACCCGAGGGCTGTAGTGGTACCTGAGGGCTGTTGTGGTACCTGAGGGCTGTAGTGGTACCCAAGGGCTGTAGTGGTACCTGAGGGCTGTAGTGGTACCTAAGGGCTGTAGTGGTACCTGAGGGCTGTTGTGGTACCTGAGGGCTGTAGTGGTACCCAAGGGCTGTAGTGGTACCTTAAGGGCTGTAGTGGTACCTGAGAGCTGTTGTGGTACCTGAGGGCTGTTGTGGTACTCGAGGGCTGTTGTGGTACCCAAGGGCTGTAGTGGTACCTGAGGACTGTAGCGGTTCCCTGAGAGCTGTTGTGGTACCCGAGGGCTGTAGTGGTACCCAAGGGCTGTAGTGGTACCCGAGGGCTGCTGTGGGTACTCGAGGCTGTTGTGGTACCCAAGGACTGTAGTGATACCCAAGGGCTGGGAAATTCGAGGGCTGCTGTGGTACCCAAGGGCTGTAGTGGTACCTGAGGGCTGCAGTTGTACCGAGGGCTGTAGTGGTACCCGAGGGCTGTAGTGGTACCCAAGGGCTGTAGTGGTACCCAGGGCTGTTGTGGTACCCGAGGGCTGTAGTGGTACCCAAGGGTTGTAGGTGGTACCCAAGGACTGTAGTGGCACGAGGGCTGTAGTGGTGCCCTGAGGGCTGTAGTGGTACCCGCAACATCACTACCTTCCTGGCTATCTCTCCTCTTTGATGTACATTGGGGAGGAAGGGAGGGTGGGGGAGGAGGAAGAGGAGGAGGAGGATTATAGTGAGGAGGAGGAAGAAGAGGAGGAGGAGGAGGTCGACGATGAGGCAACATTTCTGGGGTGTGTGTGTGTGTGTGTGTGTGTGTGTGTGTGTGTGTGTGTGTGTGTGTGTGTGTGTGTGTGTGTATGTGTGTGTGTGTGTGTGTGTGTGTGTTTGTTTGTGTGTGTGTGTGTGTGTGTGTGTGTTTGTTTGTGTGTGTGTGTTTGTTTTGAAGGCACAGTGGTCCCCACACCTCATGGTACTCAACAACAGGTCATGGTACTCAGCAACACCTCATGGTACTCAACAACAGGTCATGGTACTCAGCAACACCTCATGGTACTCAACAACAGGTCATGGTACTCAGCAACACCTCATGGTACTCAACAACAGGTCATGGTACTCAGCAACACCTCATGGTACTCAACAACAGGTCATGGTACTCAGCAACACCTCATGGTACTCAACAACAGATCATGGTACTCAGCAACACCTCATGGTACTCAACAACAGGTCATGGTACTCAGCAACACCTCATGGTACTCAACAACAGGTCATGGTACTCAGCAACACCTCATGGTACTCAACAACAGGTCATGGCACTGAGATTTGTATCAGTCCCGTAACTGGTGGTGGTGAGTGAAGGTAACTACTTGAATCTTGGTGTAATTTTAATGTTAAGTGTAAACGATTGGACGATGACCTAAGGCAAACAGTTAGATACACTCATGACCAGTTAGATACACTCATGACCAGTTAGATACACTCCATGACCAGTTAGATACACTCATCGAAGTTAGATACACTCATGACCAGTTAGATACACTCATGACCTGTTAGATACACTCATGACCAGTTAGATACACCCATGACCAGTTAGATACACTCATGACCAGTTAGATACACTCATGACCAGTTAGATACACTCATGACCAGTTAGATACACTCATGACCTGTTAGATACACTCATGACCAGTTAGATACACCCTGACCAGTTAGATACACTCATGACCAGTTAGATACACCCATGACCAGTTAGATACAGTCACCAGTCAGGTACACATTCACACGACGAATATCCAACATAAGAACACTTGAGTATCTGGTTGCCGTTATGAGGACAAGTTTATTACAACACCTGATAGTACTTGTGAGTGAGAGCTAATAAAAACAGGTTGTATTGAGGAGAGGAGTTCCACACACTCTATTTTGTATATGTATGTATGTATGTATGTATGTATGTATGTATGTATGTTTCCCACACACAGAAGAGACTTCCTCATCCGTGACCTGGCTTCACGTTGTACGAACACCAAATATTTGAGGTAGTCCAGAAAATGGGAAATGGTGAATGAATTGTGCACACTTTAGAAACAATTTGACATTTTCAGAGAATATAAACTTTTACTAGCTGAATAAAATAGATATAGAGCCATTTAAATAATCCAATATAGCTATCATTTTCAAGATGGCCGCCATTTTATAAACTGTAGATTATGTGTTAAAATACTGAAACCTAACATTACACGAATGAATTCTGATAAAAGATCTACTAGGCTATGAGTTGGATGATTAAACTTTCGTGTAGTCTTTGTGTGAAGGCGTTTTCCAGCTGTACAAACATGCTTTAAAAATCGTTCCATGGTTTTTTGCTTCAGATCGTCCACACTGTTCCCTACCAGCCCACCTGTGTGATAGGCTCAGTCTTTAACGGAAGCAGCCACAGTGAGAGGAGCCTTGTAGTACATAAATCTCACGAAGCAGGAGTGTCACAAGGGTCGGAGGAACCATTAGACTAACTGAAAACTGCTCTGAATTACTTGGATGGATGGTCCAGAAATAACAAGGATGATTGGTGAGGTTGACGCTGCATAGGAAACTCATCACTCAATCAGTATGCAACACCACGAACAGGTTAAAAAGTATTCACAACACATTTGAGAAACAAGTAACAACACTGCTTACTGTGATTGATAATGGGAAATCTATTTACGGAAGAACGCTAGGATCTGTTGGCGTGAGACAGGTTGGAAAAAGAATCTCGCATTGTAGATCGAATCATTAAGAAAAACTAAATTTCTCTTTGATCCAATTATCAAAGGATAAGCCAAATATTGACTCACTTAAGAAAAACTGTGGTCTCTCTTCTCACAGCTCTACGTGTATTGCCAGGCTCGGGGTGATAGTCTTGATGAGTTTTGATGTCATGAAAACCAGTCGTCCATTCTCCCAATATGAGAGTTACGATCAGGTATAAAAATCTGATCTTGCGTAAATCATGGAAAGCTTGGTGATAAACCTTCAAGTACCTCCATGATGGCCAAGTTCTGCTTCTCGTGGAGCTGTTGCTGTGAACTTTAAAACCAGGTGCTTGTAAACTTTTCTTAAATATGGAGAAAATGTTTTATGAAATACTCTGATGACAGCTGCAGAATGAGAGCAAGAGGCTTGACCTCATCTGGGATGAATATAGCTCTGGTGGCTCGAAATAATGTATCAGGAGAAGAAGAAGGAGAGGTGTCTGAAGGCGAGCTCACCCAGACAACAAGATTCCCTGGAAACTGGAATGCATTTCTCAGAAGAGGGAAATAATGCAAAGCTTATCATTTTCTAGCAGGTCTGTCCAAGACATTACGTTCTGGAGACAAGTAAGTAGTCTCAACGCAGGAAAGAATGTTCTCTACAGCCTAGACAGGGATACCAGCATTTGTCTCATATTCACACGAAGAAACATATAGTAGACTTCTCCTTCATGAAGTGGAATGTGCAAAACACTGATACACGAAAAATCATGCTTAGTACTGTAAACAGAGAAGTGATCGTCATAGCCGTTTCCATGCTTCAACATCTGGGCCTCAGCGAGCTTTGGATTGCGTTAGAACTGGCAAGATTTCCAGATATGTACTGTACCTGTCCATGATGTTGTTGGAAAATTGGACCTGCAAAATCAAGATAATTTACTGCATTTCACGCCTTTACGGATGTGACCAAACAACTTTATGCAGGCAGAGACAAACACATTGCATGGACGACATAGAAAGCTCGAGATTAGTCAATACAGCATTCTTGGTACTGAGACAAAGTGGAAGTGATTTTGTCTGCCATAGAGCACTTTGTCGGCTTAATGTGCGACAGAACGGGCACTTGTATGACTGTCAATGAGGCACGGAAGGATCTGTTTACTGTCAATGGGGCACGGAAGGACCTGTTTACTGTCAATGGGGCACGGAAGGACCTGTTTACTGTCAATGGGGCACGGAAGGACCTGTTTACTGTCAATGGGGCAATGAAGGACCTGTTTACTGTCAATGGGGCACGGAAGACCTGTTACTGTCAATGGGGCACGGAAGGACCTGTTTACTGTCAATGGGGCACGGAAGGACCTGTTTACTGTCAATGGGGCACGGAAGGACCTGTTTACTGTCAATGGGGCACGGAAGGACCTGTTTACTGTCAATGAGGCACGGAAGGTCTTGTTTACCAGAAGATGAAGAAGTATAGCACCAACATATGCAGCTGTAGTTGAACACTCTAAGCTGGTTATTGTTGGGGCCACTCGATCCTGCTTTACCTTCTCCAGCCTACTGAGGCCTCATATGGGTCACATCGAGAAGCTAAACAAAGTCAATTCAGAGTTAATTTGATCATGTGGATATCAACCAGAAAAGGGCCACAGAAGGACTGCGTGTAAAGGCAGAAGTAGAATGTACCAGCACGTGTAGATGTAGTGGTGGACTGTGATCGGCATTAGCTGACAAAAGTTGGGAGACTAGAAACTTTTGTCTGATACTCGTGTCGTGTGTACAGTTGAGGTCATGAATTCGTTACCACCTTATAATTTTCATCATGTAAATAAAACAATTGAGACAGTCTTATGAACGTTATTTGATTTATAAGACATTAATAATCCATTGTATCGACTACCTTAATAACTTATGCTCATAAAATAATCCATTATGATTTAGATATACTTGATTAATGAGAATCATAATCATAAATTATCATAAAATAATAATATTAATCTCAAATAATTAGTATTTTTTAATCTTTTGTATCGTTTAACTTATCTTTTATGATTCTCAAAACATTACATGTTTGTGAAGCATAATTAGAATACCTCATGCACTGTATCTTGGAAATGACACCCATATTGAATGTTTTTAAATAAATTTACTTCCATAGGTCAAGTTCTATCACTTCTGAAAAATTCAACGTCACAAAAGTCCACACCATATTATACAAACTTTTCTCGGACTAACGATCCAACTTACGTTCGTCTTTGCATGAACCATAAAGTTGTGAATAATTCGCAAACCTAACAAACCTAACCTCATCTAACCTAAACCTACCTACCTAAACTAAACCCTAAACTTAAAGCTCTCCTTTAAACCTAGCTAAACTAACTCCTCCAATAGACACGGACACCCACAGAGTCTGCCAGGATAAACTCATTTACCTTATGACGCCCTACCTCTCTACCCACCCACACCACACGATCGATGGATGGATGATAGATAAATAGGTGTACAATCGCCATATAAACAGACTGAGGATAGATCAACACACACACACACACACACCTAACTCGCCATATAAGTTAACATTGATGCAGCAAATACAAAAACAGACCATGTATACATAGATCAGGTATACATAGTAGGTATACAGAGCAAGCATACATATAGAGTAGGTATACATAGCACAGATATACATATACAGCAGGTAAACATATAGAGCAGTTATCCATAGCACAGGTATACAT